TATATGTATATATATATACCCACAATACTTCTAATCTCCACTTTAAAAAAACGAGTATAACACCACAATCAGAAAATCTGTAACTAATAGTTCATTTATAATATGTAGTGCTTCGTTTCGTTTTTTACGTCTTCAAACATTATTAAAATTATATTAATAGGAATACGATTCTATTAATAATGATAAAGTTTTATTGTGTTAAATAATTCCTTTGTATTTAAAATGTAAATATGAAATACTTAGTTTAAAATTCACATTTGGTGGAAAAATAAATCAATTATTGTTTGATCTTCTCGGGGAAAGGAGATATTTCTTGGGCAACAAAACAGGCGATTTGAATTTAGCTCAGAGACTTCATTTAGGCTTCTTTTCTTTCTGGAGTAAATCTACTAACATAGGACAGGCGGCTTCACTTTCCCTCCGAAGGAAGGCGTACGTAGGATTTTTGGGCGTTCGAACAGTCCGATACGCTAACCGTTACACCATTTCCACCGCATTGGAAACGTCGGTTGCAGATTCTAATTAAATCAAGAAACGCCCATGAAATCTATTTGAATCGCTTCAAATTTTTACTATGCGAAGTTAAAAAACATTACAAAACAAACACAGGAACTGGCAGAAAACATTATTTTAAAGACTTTTATGTGACCTTTGGATACCGAGCAGAGAGCGTTAGGAAATAAATCAGAAGCCATTGGGGTTGCGCAGTGAGTATGGTTTACGAATTTAAAACAGTTAATAATACAATTTGTATGTGTTTATACCACTCCATTATAGAAAAGCTTTCCTTCGTTTCCTTTCAAAATATTTCCATGCTCAGGTAACCCCACAAGCCGCCTGCTAGCATGAGTGAGAACAGCTTTTTCATTATTTTACAAGCATTCTGTCATGCAGAATTTCACAAATAAGCCATTAAAGATTTGGTTTTTGACTTTTCGAACATTACTTTGTAAAGGTTTGAAGCACTTGGGATTGTTCAACTTCGCGGACGTCTCGGGTTAGTAACACATCGTGTTCTTCGCGTAACCGGCTGAGTTTTCTCATGATGCCACTGCAGCGACTTTGACCAGAGGTCCTAGAGTTTGAGTCCCGGTAGTCATTTTAGACATTAGCTAGATTGTAGCTCGTCGTATTATTCCCCTGTCTGGAGAATTCTAGGGGCTGGCTGCTCTGATTGGTATGTTCCGTAGTTTCTCCAATAAATACTAGACAAATGCCGTAGCAAAAACCCTTACCAAAGGACCACGGATCGAGCGCCATATTTCTTTCCTTATCCGCGTCCTTTTCTCACCCTTTACTTACACACATATTTACTTACATGAACTACTATATTACCGCACAAGCCGGGAACTAGTCGGTAGCTTAGAGCTTGTCCCGGCTGAGGCGAAGCCCCACTCGCGTATATACTTGTGGGGAAAACCCTCAGCAAGCCACCCTTTAGGTCGGCACCGGATCACACTTTCTATCTGGCGAGAAACAGTGCTTCCCCCCCCCCCCACAATATAATACTCACTACGTAGACGGGGCTAATGAACATATTAGATGATGCTCTCAGACACTAATTAAACTAACTAACTAACTAACTAAATAAATAAATAAATAAATAAAGTGATTCCCTTGCGTAATAACGAGGGCTTCGTGGCTGCCAGTGCTCACCGTCGAAGTTGAACCAGTCGGGGCGCACGCCGCCGCCCAGCACCTTGCGCCGGATGCGGCGCCGCTCCCGGGCGATGGCGTCCGACGCCGCCCCCAGCGTCTCCGGGACGGCGGCTGTCCCCGGGCGAGCCCTCGCAGGCCGCTCGTCCAGCGGCGCCGTCGAATGACTCGGATCTTTCGCGAGACGGAGACGGCGGTTAGGGAGCAACGCGAACGGTTTCAATTCCAAGCTTCTCAGTCACGAGTTTGTTCGGTTGTGAGTACTATATTCAATTACCAAATTGTTAAACACAATGTTACTTTTAAATGCTATTTTGAACTTTTTTCATCAAGATTAAACTTCAGGGAATAAAGAAATAGCCAGGAATTGAAATCACAAGCGTATTTAATCCAATTTATCAATAAGGGACATTCAACAATGTTGTGCATTAGAAGTTAATATGATTATATTATAATTAATTGAAATGGGTGAAATTACTGCATTTTATTTTGCGCGCTCAATTGAATCAAGCTGATCCTATTTACTTTCTCGCCATTTTACGACGTATTGTGGTACCCTGGTGCCGAAAAATCGGTTTCATTTCACAAAATTCATGACCTTTTACATTAGTGTTGTGTTGCTTTAATAAGCATTTACAAATTGCAAGACAATCATTTTTCTATCCTTTGAATTGTGTTATTCAGAAGCCTGTAGTTCTGTACAAGATAGGAATCATTCGAGATATTTAAAATTACTTCTTTAAATATTTGTTGAAGTTCACAAATGCCGAAATATTAAATTAATAGTCCCTGATTTCCCGATTTTCACGGGAAAATCGAAAATGCAACAAAAATTTTTTTTATCTCAAAGAGACCTCCCTCAATAATAATTTTCTCAACAAATTCTATAAAACGCTAAATCTTAAATTTTTATATTTTCTAAAAATGTTATAGCCTTGTTTTTAAAATAATATTATTTAAAATTTAAAATGCTAAATACTACCATCACTACTTACGGGATTAATGACCATAGCAGATGACGCGCCAGTTAACACAAATAATTAATCAATTGCGTACTATTTCCGTGCGCCGGGTGCTCTTCCCTGTCGCCCAGCTGCAGACTGGAGCCCATGACGTGGGCGCGGTTGCGCTGCAGCTCCGATTGGATCTGGTGCTGCGAGGGAGCGGGCGAGTGCGGCGGTTGGTAAGCCTGCGGGTGGGGCTGGAGGTGCGCGTCGGCTGGATTCCACGCTGCCCCCGGGGGAACCTCCACTGCCAGCGTCGACGATGCCATGCGAAAGCACACCATTCAATTGGTCAAGGAGGTTAGAAATAAGGTGATCAGATCCTCATTCAGGAAAAGGAGGGCAATGAAAAAGGGGTGTAAAAATAGGACATTCCATAATATTTTTAATAACAACGTAATATATGACACATCGTGTGTACACGTTACATTGAATTTTTATTGATGTTTTCTGGCAGATTTAGAGTACTGATACAAGCCAAACAACGAACGTTTATTCACTTGGGCATTTTAAAATATCACAATATATCATTAGCAAATATATGACTAGCAAAAAAAATCGCTTGAGTTTCCATTCTCGATAGAATTGCCATCTAGACAAAACTACTAAGAACAAGAATGAGTGACCTCTGAATTTGCACAGAGAAGAGAGAATATTCTGGAGATAGTGCAGGTACAAGTATATTAGTGTAAAGAGGAGCCAAAACAAAAATGTTCAAAGCACCAAGCTCTTAGACGATGAAATTACTAAAAGGAGGACATTTCGTAAATTTAAAAAAAAATACATCCGGACCCTCGACAAAAGAAGGACATATCCGGATAAACGAGGACGTCAGTTAACCTTAGAAGTCGAAGCTTAAAAGGAATTACTGTGGCATATTACACAACGAAAGGGTTTCAAAACTAACAAGATGATGCAGAGAAACTGTAAAACTTTATTTGAACTGAATTTACAATTCGAGCGTCCAGTTCAACTGTCTGCTTTCCGGTCTAACGTACTCGTATGTGAAGGCAAAAACATTCAAATTGTCTCAACAAATTGAGAACTCAAAGAGTTATTATATACGTAATGAAACTATGAAAAGAGATAGTAGAATTGATTTCCCATTGAAAAATAGCCGAATTAACAATTTTGTTTTTATTAGTTGTTTAAATACCCATTGTTCTCCTCGATGTCCCTCTCTCATAGAATCATTTCTACAATCGTGTGTTTACAACATCGAGGACGAATCATTGACTACAATACAGATACTGACTTACAATTTATAGCTACACTACTTCTGAGCATATTTAATATAATAATTTCTTTAGTTCATTTCTCTTCACAATTTTGTGTGTACATCTACAAAAACAATTCACTCTATATACAAGACGTATTTAGGAAATTTGCACGGAATTTAGGAGGGATGCACGGCAACGAGTCTTCAACGACTTCATAGACTATAAATGATACATAAATCTCATTTGTACATTTTATGTACAATATTATCAATGAGAATAATAAAAGGTGATACATATACATTTCCACATTTAGCTCTAAAGAAGTTACTAATCATGAAGATGAAATCATCTTAAGACAATCTAGATGTGGGTGACCTGCTGATCTGTTATTATATTATCGGAAGAGTATTAAAGAAAACTCACCTCGAAGTGGGCGAAACATGAAACCAATTTCACCTGACCGAAACATGCTTAAAATATTACTTTCAATATAAATGTTTAAAATTATTACTTTCAATCTAGGGACAAATATTTCTATTAATTTTAAGAAGACTGAGTGATGTATCGTAAATGGGCCTGCGTAATAAAAAGTCGCATACTATAAATCTCTATTTGTACCCTGTATCCGTGGATACAAAGAGGAATTT